TATGTTTCTGTATTGTTACATTTATATTTATTTTTGAAAATAAAACCAACCAGTATATATTATATTTTTTATTTATTATTTTTAGAGTTAGATTTAAAAATAAAAATGTATAGATAAATAATACATTTATTTTTTAATTTAAAAAATATAAGTTGAAAACTCTTTTTCAACAAAATATTAATTTTTTTTTTAGATTGAAAATACAAACAGAATATCTAAATAAATTTACAACATAAAGTCTTACAAATTATTAGAGATGTTCGCAGTTTGACAGTTCGTTTGCGATTAAAATAATCTCAAATCTTTCATCTATCCAAAACTAGGCAGATTAAAAAAAAATCAATCCACAATTATCTATTTATCATCACGTATTCGTCTAAAATACGACGTATCAATTCATTTTGATCAGTTTAGACGATTTGATATATCTGCTGCACCTAACTGATAAATCATTGGAGTCAACTAAAGCGGGTAAAATGAGTACACATTGGTTTTTTTTAAAGCTATTATACTAATTTACTTATATAAAAAGAAAAATCATTTGAATTTGATAAGTCCCAGTGAAAAGCTTATAAAATTTGGTTAAAATTTAAAATCAATAGATGGTCGATGTGATGGATTATTTAAATTAATTATTTTTATGAAAAAAATAAATAAATAAGCCAGTTAATATTATGAGTGATTGAAATTAATGGAGGGTTATTTTTTAAGCCCTGGTTTGGTTATTATTTTGGGACTAAAAAAAGTATAAAATGACAAAATAAACTAAATAAATTAATAAGATAAAATATCACATCTAATTCATAATCATTACACTTTTGGTGTGTTTGTTTGGACGCATTGGATAAGGGGAGATTGTAATTTATCGGACTATTAGTCCTAGGATACATTATCCCCGACTATTTGGTTGGACTGAATTTGTATCCTATGTTTGTTTAGTCATGAGATTAGATGTCTGGATTTGATTATTTTTAGTAAATCCAATGTTTGTTTGGAATATTATGGAAAAGAATAAATGTTCAAATGTCTATTTTATCTTTTTCAATTATTTACTAAGTAATAGCAATATTAAACATACTTTTAATATTTTAATTATTTTTAGCTAGATTAAATAAAAATTTACTTTATTTTATTTTTTGCACAATTAAATAAATTTATTTTTTTAAATTAAATAAATTAAAAATTTTAAATAAAACACATATTAAAATTTAAAAAATGAAATTAAATAAATTATAAACAAAATTTTAAAATAAAACATGAATAAAATACCTATATAAAAATATTTTAAAAAATTAAATAAATAAAACAAAATAAAAATAAAAATAAAAATTAAATAAAATTATTTTATTTTTAAATTGAGACATTTAATTTTTTTTTTTGAATTTTACTAAATATAATATATAATTAAATACTAGAGGGAAAAAATATAATTTAATTGTCTAATCCCATGGGATGAGTTATCCTATGGTTTCTATCCCACCCCCCATGGGATAGGATTGTTTCATATTTGTGAGACTAATAGTCCGGAACAAAATTTTTTAAACAAACAATGGACTATCAGTCCGGTGGAACTAATAATCCAATCCCACACCCTAATCCTTCAAAACACACACACCCTTTTTCTGTCAAAAAAGCCAAAAAATCTAAACCAAATGAGGCTAAAAAAGTTCCAACACAAAAAAAATTGACTATATTACCCAATACCAAACAAAACTTAAATGTATGAATTGTGTATATAATACAAGAAAAATGTGTAGTAGCTCGAATTTGTGTGGCTCGAATGACTCGAATGTATTAAAATGACGTCTTTTTATTTCCAAATCGACATAATTTTGAAACATTTGAGCCTTTCAGACCATGAAAATTTGGACTACCAAACATTATTTATAATAAAATTAATCATCCTAGTTACAATTATTTATGCAAAAAGAATCTTTTTAAATTTAAAGTTAATTGAATATTGTTTTCAATCAACATTTTTTAGTTAAAATGTAAGAATGGTAATCTTCAAGTAATATTTTGTTATAATTTTTTCAGTTTTTAATACTTTAGTTTGGATTATTTTGTTCATTTTATTTATTTATTTATATATGAAGTTTGTTATATATTTAGGTAAATGTTAATAGTTATTTATGAAAGTAACATTTCTGTAAGTCAAAAAAAAAAAAAACTTTCAATCACAATTTTTTTTTTTTTAAAATTATGAAAAACCCTAAAATAAGCCTTTGTTTGACATGCCAATTTTTTTTTTATTTTTTGACTATTTTAATCACAAAATAAGTTAAAAAATTAATAAGTTACATTTTTTCTATCAAAAAAATCAAAAAATCGATCCGAAATGACATTTTTTAACCTCAAATTAAAAAATTAAAAAACTAAAAAATTAACCCACGTTCCAAACGCACCTAAGAGTCCGCTTAGAGACCAAAAATGTGAGGGTCAAAATCCTAAATTGAGTGCATTAGAGGCAATCAATGGCTGCAGACACACCAACCAAGTTCAAAGAACATCTACAAGAGACGCAATTTTGGAATCCTGTGGATATAAACAGTTATGCTGTTTTAATTGGAGAATTTAATGAGAAATTTAAAAAGAAAAATGAAAATAAATAAATAAATAAAATATACTTAAATTTCACTTAATTTCATACATATTTTTCTTTTCTTTTTTTTCTTTCTAAATTTCTCTTAAAATCTCCTAATCAAACACAATGGTAAGAAATGTGTAACTTTGGTGACTGACCCTATTGCCAAAGCAACTGATCAGCCGGGCAATATATCCATGGATATAAAATCAAATAGAGCTTCAAAATAAGATCCACATTCAAATTCAATAATTAACAATATTTTTTTGAGTATCTTCTGCACTATGATATATGTAAGCATTTAGATTGATTTCTTGAAATTTTGTTTTTCTTCATGTTGAGTGTCTAGTTATTTATCCAAAAAAAAAAAAACTATAGAAAAGAATGGATCGAGACTTGTACTTAAGATCACAAATTTGATAAAAAAAACTTTTATGACAATCAATACATGTTAAATATTTTATTTATTTAACTTGCACGTATTGTGTGTCTACAGCTAGTTACTCACTAACTCAACAGAAATGTAAATGGAAAACAAAGATCTACATTCTTCACATAGCAATGCTTTCACCTAGAAGGAGCATAACAATTGTATTACCAGCTAATATATAGCATCATAAAAGCATGCGAAAATCTTCAATGGAAAAAAACATACGAATAAAGAAAGAGAAGAGGACGATTCTGCTTGTCTATTAAAACGCCTCTGATCAGTTGTCCTTCACTCGTGCCGCAATCTTTCATCTGAATCCATGATAGAGACATGTATGAAACTTCTCTCTTTTCCCTAGATTTTCAGTAACCAAATGGAACAGCAAGCCTGTTGCTTCCTTTTTTGTGTAGATAATAATGCTAAGTATAATTGTCTGTCTCTTCATCTGAAAATGCCATTATTACATTCTGATGAAGAGACAAAGGAAATTTCCTGGTATTACTATCTATCACAAAAAGGGCAATAACACACTCTCTGGATCCCACACACAAATTTAGTGGCAAAGTGTCTTTTGTCAATTGCATTGCTTGTCCCCAATGATGGCACAACCTTTGGTTCAACTAGAGCCAGTCTCCCATTTTATCTCATTTAAGATTTGGAAGAGAAACAACACACACAGATGCATTCACAACATACACACATATATAATATAAAACGCTAAAGCAGAAAATTTTAAATATAATTAAGTCCTGAAATAGAAGAAAAAAAAATTAGATGAGCATCATATACAAATTAGATTAGCCAGAAATTACCTGATACGTCTATATCTCCAATGAAAAAGTTAGAGAGAGAGAGAGAGAGAGAGAGAGAGAGAGA